TATTTTAATATTGTTCCATTTACAATTGAACAATTAAGCTTAATTCAAGTTCATTCCACTTATATCCACATTATCAAATTCTGATCCATTGAAATTGCATCTTACAAAATTTCCACCAACCAAAGAAGTATCTCTAATCCTAATATTCTCAAAGCTTTGTTCTCTCAAATCCACTTTCATTTCTACTAATAAATTGAGTGAGTTCGATCCGCTTTAGATAAATCTCTCGTCAATGGCTGTCAGACGTACGAGGAATTTCAAAAATTCAATTATGAACTAATCATAAGATATTTATTTTATTAAGTCCTTTCTAATTTAATCATAGTTCTCAGTTGAATAATTCTTCTTATTAAAGTTTATTTCACTAACGTTTTTAATCATAGAAGTGATATATTACAACTGACTTTAATTTTTAAAGAACTCTAAACAATTAGTAATCTTCTTAATTTTCAGCAACTAAAGTAGCTAATTAAGGTACGTTCCATCAAAATGCTTAGTCTAAGTTAATACTTAATAGAAATCATCCTTTCTGTAATATTATTACTTTATTTCTTTTAAAGTTAATTGTATCTGTGAATGTGAAGAATATTCTTAGTTAATTTCTCTTTCTTGATTTTGAATTAATTAATTTAAAGATTACATCACATCCTTGCATTTCTTGATTTCAGGAAAGAGATCAAATTGTTGATCAATATAACTTTTCAATCCTTTATTCTGTCTAATACTTTTAACATCAATTGAAAAAAATAAATAACGGGTTATGAAAATACAACATTGATTAAGTAATTTTAAAAATCATTCAATCCCAATGTTTAACTTTTTTTATCATTTAAGATTATTAGTAAGTTTAATTTTATTTTGTAAATTATTTAAATTCTTCTTATCTTTCTTATTAATTGTATCATTATCTTTATTATAAACTTGAAAATCTAAATTATACTAAACTATTAGTAATCATTATTAGGACTAAACCTGTTTACTCTGTTTATATTATAAATTTAATAGTGTATACGAATATAACTATTAATTTATAAACGTTGTTTCAAACATCTCAATATTCTTCAAATATTTAAATACTAATAAAAAACACATATTATTCGAAAAGTTTTATTAAAATGATAAAAATTTATAATTGTAATGTTTTTAATGAATATTCAAATTCACTTTTGCTTTTGCTGTAAGTCTTCTAAAAAGCAACTACCCTTTGATTTAAACAAAGGTTTTAAATCTCTCCCTTAATAAGTCATGAATTGTCCTTATAGGATAAGTGTTCCTGATGCTTCTAATAAAGGATTCTAACATATTCTAAGTATTGTACGATCAGGATTAACTAAATAATAAGAAACATTACCATTTGGCAATAAGGAGCTATTCTGAAGAGGTATGTTAAACTAGGCAAGCAAATCTTTATAGTTACTATTTGATTGAAGTATTTCCTTTGATGTTTGTACATTCCAAAGTCGGATAGAGTTATCATAACTACCAGAAGCTAATGTATTTCCATCAGGAGAGAAATTGACTGAATAAACTGTTGATGAATGACCATCTAATTTGGATTTTTATTATCCTGTCTTAACATCCCATAAAAGGATAGAGTTATCCCAACTACCTGATGCTAATGTAGTACCATCAGGAGAGTAACAAATTG